GGGTTTGCTTCGAAGCACATTGCTTCTGCTCAGACTTTTCAATAATTTTTTTAAAAACATAAAGTGCCTGATATGCTATTTCATCAGTTTCGTCTAGTAGACAAAAGCTTTGTAAGTTATCCAATGAGGTCCTTGCTACTTTAACTGACACCGTTGCCAAAGGCTCTGATGTATCGTCTTCATTTTCATCGTTGCTCTTTTCCTCCATCGGTTAGGGATCCTGAAACAGCATCATCAACAGAACCACTTTCTCCACAAATTTTTTTAAACACGATTTCATTCCTCTTTTTGAAATTTGTTTAGAGTAGACCCGAACTCTTTAGCTTTTTCCTTTAACGAAGGTCCGTTAATAGATACTTTTTGTTCTCTACACTGTCTAAGCCAAATGACAAGGCTTTCTTCCAGACGAGGAAATTCACCTTTACTTGTTCTCTTTCATGCCCCAGCCGTTGGAGCAAGAGTAACATTCTCCTTGTTCTTTATTATGGTTGAGAGTACTGAGTGGAATCTTAAATTCTTTTGCAACATCGCTTTTCTTCTCATCTCCTTCTACTTTTCCAATAAGTTTCTTCTTTTCAGCGATCGTCAAACTTTTATACTTTTTAGGACTCATTTAATATAAAATTTTAATATGTATTCTAACGAAGCGATTCGTGGGGAAGCAAGCATCATAATGTGCCTATGTTTTATGCGTAACACGTAACCACGCACAGTAAAGTTAGTTTAGTTTAGTTTAGTTAGGGGAGTCCCAAAATTCAAATTCAAAGTTCATACTAACACACCAAGGTTTGAGATTACAAGAGCCGACTGTATATCCCGTACCCCTTTAGAGCTAGAGCTTCCAAATTTTAAATGTAGATTCATGTGTATTTTATATAAATTCGACCTCTATATCCGCCCCCCCTCAGCCTCACCATTGTAAAAGGCGTATTTCAAGTACTAGAGACTTACGCTTTGGAATGTGCATACATTTGAACATTACGATTACATTATGAAAGTTTCATTAAGATTGTACGTTTGGAAATAATATTATTCAAGTAATAAATTCTTATAATATTGCCCACACTGCAGCGTAGCCCAAGCTGCTTACTGCGCAGTTAGCAAAGCGCGTTCTAATGTGTGTATGTATGTGTACCTAAAAGAAGTGCAGAGTGATTAGAATATCAGATTGGAGGGTTCAAGGTATCCCGTAGTTGAGCAGTCTCGACTAGAGTCTTCTTGTATTACTATTAATATAGTAATACTGAATTTGCAGTTGCACAAAACCACATAAAACAATCAAGACATAGATAATAGCTTACCAAGAAAAAACATAGATAACCTATGAAAAGACATTTACCTGTAGAATAAATCTTAAATTCAATAAATAATTTACACAAATTAATGTCTAAAACAAACAAATCAGTACCTATGTAAGTCACATTAACTGATAAGTACAAACACAAAATGTATTCACGTTCACGTATTGATAAAATATGCATGAATAATTGTTTTACATGAGAGCATGAGCGAAAACTGTCAATGGTATCAAGCCTACTGAGAAAATTCTAAATGATTCGTCAATTTTTAAGTATGTTTAAGATTTATTCTACTATTCGGGGCGGAGACAAATTCAAGAAATCAATAACGATGAAAATTAATCCATCAGATCTCGAGTTATAAGACTTGTAACAAACACGACTTTTTTTTTATATATATATAGATGTATATATATAGTGACATATTCATACTGGATTTTATTCATACAGAATAAAGCGATTCAAAAATAGCCAAATCATAAATAGGGGCGCCGGCTTGACAATGCCGTTGCATTTTTGCTATTGCATAGCAATAATGTTGCGAGCCGATATTCTTAGAACGACGCGTCTAACTGATCATAAATGCTGGCGCACATACACATACCTAATTATATATATAGTTTTTTTTTTTTTTTTTTTTTTTTTTTTTTTTTTTTTTTTTCTTGTTTTACTTAGGAGCCCTGGCATATGCTGAACTAGGCACAATGAATACATCGTCTGGTGCGGAATGGGCATATTTCATGGATGCGTATGGACCTGCTCCTGCTTTTTTATTTTCATGGGTATCCACATTGGTGTTGAAGCCATCTCAAATGGCTATAATATGCTTATCATTTGCACAGTACGCTGTTGAGGCTTTTGTGACAGAATGTGATCCGCCAGGAGGCGTTGTAAAAATGGTTGCACTAGTGGCAATAGGTAAGCTTTGCATACAAAGTACAATACACATTTGAAAGCCTACAAAATTATTTTCTCTTACTGCTACAGTGATGATATTGTTTGTGAATTGCTACAGTGTTAATTTGGGAATGGCCGTGCAGAATGTCTTTACGGCTGCAAAATTGGTAGCTGTTGTTATTGTGATATGCGGCGGCACTTGGAAACTATTTGAAGGAAACACGCAGCATCTATCGAATGCATTTAATGGGCCAATGCCAAATATTGGCGCTATCGCAACCGCATTTTACACGGGCCTTTGGGCATATGATGGTTGGAATAATTTGAACTATGTTACCGAGGAGATTAAGAATCCCAGTAAAAACTTACCGCGATCTATTATTATTGGCATACCACTGGTTACTCTCTGCTACGCGCTAATCAACATCTCCTATCTGGCAGCTATGTCAGCGCAAGAAATGATCGAATCCGAGGCGGTTGCTGTAACCTTTGGCAATCGCATTTTAGGCGCCCTTGCCTGGCTAATGCCACTCAGTGTCACTGTCAGCACATTTGGAAGTGCTAATGGTACGCTCTTTGCCGCAGGACGGTACGTTACAAATGTAGCTCCGCGATGTTTCACCGTGTATTATTTCTTAACCTTTTTATTCGCAGTCTTTGCTTTGCAGCAAGTCGAGAGGGTCATTTGCTTGATATCTTATCATATGTACATGTGCGACGTTTGACTCCTGCTCCTGGCCTTATATTCCACGTAAGACCTATAGCAACAGCATTCTAGAGCACAAGCTATTGTTTCAAATTTATTCCATTTGTTTCCAGTCCTTAATTGCATCAGCAATGGTGCTGCATGGTACAATTGATTCTCTGATTGATTTCTTCAGTTTTACCGCATGGATATTCTATGGCGGCGCCATGTTGGCACTGATCGTAATGCGCTACACTAAACCCAACCATCCTCGACCATACAAAGTACCAATCATTATACCAGTTGTGGTTTTGGTAATATCGGTGTACCTTGTAGCGGCGCCAATTTTCGAAACTCCCCGTATTGAATATTTATATGCTTTACTTTTCATTTTTGCGGGACTGATATTTTACGTCCCTTTTGTCAAGTTAGGAATGACTCCACGTTTTATGAGTAAGTATAAGTTCAAGTTACTGAAAGCATTAAGCTGTTTTCAAATTGTCTTCCTTCCTTTTTTATTGCAGATAAGGTAACTCTCTTTTTTCAGCTGCTACTGGAAGTTGTTCCAACATCATCAATGGCCATGTTTGAATAAACATAAAAAAATCACAGCAATCGGCAAACAAAGAAACTACTCGTCATATATACTTGAAAAACTTAATATTAATTATATGAAAACTATCATAAGATTGAAAGACACTAGAAATGATAAATGTTGCATTTTATACGAGCGCATGAATGTGTATATATAGTTTTTAGTATGCAATTAAATTAAATCGGAGTTGTGTGCATTATTTTACCAAATAACAAAAGTTACCATTGCTATCGAATTATTTTTTAATGTGTCTAGGCACATTTGCGACCTTAGGACGGGATAATTGAATAGGAGACAAATTCAGATTAAGGGATACTAACCATACATATATCTTGATCAGGAAAAAATGAAAATAGATGACATATTCGATAAAAAACTTGATCGAAGATCAGTTATAAAATTATATTTCCCACATCTTTAAAGCTAGTCTCCAAATTTATATTAAGATTCATTTCATACAATTTCGATTTTTGTTAAAATTAACCCCCCACCCCTATATCCACCCCTTACCATCATGTTTCTAAAAGGCGTATTTCAAATACTAGCGACTTGTGCTCCGGAATATACACATATTTATACATTGTGTTTACGTTCTGACGTTTCATTACGATCGTAGGCCTAGAAATTAAATTAATCCACAAATAAATTCTCCAAATATTGCCAACACTGCAGCGCAGACCAAGCGCTATCGCCTGTATATGTGCGTGTGTTTGTTTGTATGTGTGTGTGTGTCGAATTATTATTGAAATATCAGTTGCTCGAAGGGTTCAGGGGATCTCGTAGTCGATCAGTC